CGGCGGGCGTGGCCGGGGCGCATGGGGCGGCTGGGGCTGGGTCAAGGGGGTGGGCCACCGGCGGGCGTGCTGCTGGGCGGCGGTGGTGCCCACCACCGGGCGAGGCGGGGACAACGCGGCCTCGACGACGATGGCGCGGCATGGTGGGGCTGTTGCCATCGGCCCGCAGGGACGGGACGGGCGGGGGGAGAGATCTTGCGGCGAGAGGAAGGGGATGCGGGCTAAGTGGCGAGAGGAAAGGCTGAGTGGGCCGTGAGTGGTCTATGTGGACTGGGCCTTTGCCGAGGGCCCAGATCCGGGCTCTCGACAAAGTTTTTTTTATTTTTCTTTTTTAAACTCTTTGCAATACAAAAAAAAATTTGTTTTTTCCCAATTTTTTTCTGGTGGCTAATAATAATATTTAAAAGACATATTTAAAATTTGGAGCTTTTTTTAGTTTATTAGCTATATTTAATAAGTTTATTTCATTTACTTGAATTCTTCCCGGTAATTCAAATTTGAACTGCAGGTGCATCGAATATTGGAATTGAGTGATTCAAAAAATCATATTCATGGTATTGCATGTGGTGTGAGACCGTATCCAGTGATGATGCCAAATTTGGCGATCGTTTTCACGGAACACGGCGAGGAACTTGCGTGTAAAGTATTTTTAAATTATATAAAATGGAAACGAAGTCCGAAATTCACGAAACTTGTCGAGGTGTCATTTCATCGCATGTATAGGCTGTGATAAAAAATTGAGTGGGTTTCGAGCAAGTTGCGACGTCCGATGCCTAAAACCTAGACATCTCCGCATGTGAAGCGAGCACCTTTTCTATTCCAGTAATGGTTGGAATAGGGCGTTCGTCTGCCCGGACGTTCCTATTGGCAGGCCATGACACCAGCCCAATGACCCGCTCCTATCCGCTTCGGCCCACTCGCCCCAATTTCTAAAAATCGCCATGATCGCTGCTTCCACCGAGCCGCTTTTGGCGCGGCAAGCGTCCGGCACCCGCTATCGGCATCTCCACCGCGCCCAAGCGTGCTCGCCATCCGCCTCCCTATCCATCGTGCCTCCCGCTTGTCGTGGTCGCCCGCCTTCCTCCCTCTCCGCTGCGCCTTCGGCCCACCGCGGCCTTCTCCACCAGACTTGCCTCGACCTAATCCACTAGAGCGGCAAGCTCTACACCGATGAACTCTCTGTGCCGATGAGCCTCCATTCTGTCAAGCAACATGTAGGTGTTGCACTAAAAGCTCATGTTGCAAACGTATGTTTTCAATATTTCAGAGGTATGTTGTATGTGTTTCATATGGATGTTACAAAAGTAGATCTGGATGTTGCATATGTTGCAATAGCTATACACGTATGTTGTAAGTCTTTCAGCTATTTTGACGTATGTTGCAAGTGTTTCGTCAGGATTGCAAAAGTAGATATGGTGTTGCACATGTTGCAATGGGATCTACCTATCGTAGCCACTTGTTGTAGCTACTGAGTCGCTGCTGTCGATCGCCGTGCAAGCACCTGAGGCCAGCAGACGCATCTGTGGTGCGCATCCACATGTGGGGCAGGTGACTGAGACCCACGTGAGTGCGAGAAATGGAGCGGCACGGGTGGTCCCCACGCAAACGAAACTCCCACGTATGTATGGGCACGCAACAACGCGCGGGCATCCGTCTGTACGTCCGGACGCTAGCAATGTCTGTTTCTATTCTGCCAAGTGCCAACAGAACCGCGCTGGAATCAGGCTTCGCACGGCTCGATCACTCTCTCTTCAAGCTTGATGACCAAACTAGACATCAAGTTAGCAGAAATTACAATAAAGATATCATCTTCCGGCTGCCGCCGCCGAGCCACACTAGCCAGCGCAAAAGTGGCCTGCCGCCGCCGCAACCTCCCACCTCAGGCAGCAAGGCTTCAATTTGGCCCCATTAGACTGTCTCCAATAACGCGACCCAACCCCAAAAATACGTCGCGCACAGTATTTTGACAGCGAAAAACAATCTCCAACCGAGTAGGCAAACACAGCACGCATTTTGGGTCGGACGCGACGCGGTTGGCAAAAAAGCATCCTCCCTCCGTCTCTTTGGGTCTCCGCTAGGCCCACCACCACGAAAGCACCACGAGGAAGGGGACGACCGAGCCGGCTCAACACGGCGGCACGCGCAAGAGCCTCGCCCGCCGCCGCCGCGACGATCGAGGGGGCTCCGATCGCCATCCCAGATCCACGCCGCGCCCCACCGCCGCCCGGATCTCGGGAGGGCCACCATGGCGGGGTGTTTTGGCGCTGCAGCGCGAGATGAGGGAGGAGGTTGTAGCACCGTCGCCATGTCCGCCGCCGCAGGAGGATGCGCGCCGCGTTGGGGAGAGGAGCCGCCGACCTTGGCTGCCTTGCCGGATCTGGACCCGCTCCCCCGCCACCGGTGATGAGCAGCGCTGCGTGGGGGCGGAAGTGCTCGCTGGCGCTCGCCGGATCTCGCAGGGAGGGAATGCCGGAGGGAGGGAGGGAGGGGCGGAGGTGCTCACTTGCCCGCCGCCGGCCGACCGAGGGAAAGAGGAACTCCGGCCGGGGGTTAGGACAGTCCGCTGGGCGGGAGCGGGCGTGGCCAGGGGTTGCGAGGCGGCGCGCTGCGCACTGTGTGGCGCGTAGGACCGGCCGGTGTGGCCGCGAGTCCGCTACGTGGAGGGCAGGCCGGGGCGGCGGAGAGGACCGGAGTCGGCGCAGGGGGGAGGGGGCGCGAAGACCGGGGCGGCCGTGGACGCTGTGGCGGCGTCGTTGGATCCGGCCGTAGGAAGTTTTGAGGTCGCGCTGTTGGAGAATAAAAGTTTTGGGTGTGCACCCTTTTTACTGTACGTGACCTAAACCACGATATGGGTCTCTATTTTAGGTTCCTTTGGAGATAGTCTTATGCATCCCAAACTACGGTACCGACCTGTATTGACCCTAGTAGCTGTGTCAATAGTCAACCGTAAATGAGGCATGCATGCATCCGTAGCTACTAATCAATCTCTCTATCTATTGATGCCCAAATAGTACGTTCGCCAGGAAGACAGCAGAGGCATGCCAGTATGCCACAGGCTTCTTCCATGAATTGCCCGCAGGCGGCAGGCCGGGGAAGCCGAGCCCCATCCTTCCATCCATCGTAAATGCGCGCCATTTTCTGCTGCGGCCGCGACACTGTTATCTCCCTGCCGCGCGCGGAGCGCCGGTCTGTAGCGCTAGCTGTAGCTGGCCGCGACCGGCACTGCTCAGCTCCCCTGTACCTGGCCTGAACATGCACAACAAGCTACTAGTACAGTAAGCCCCACTACTGCTTCCTTCGTTCCCTTAACTCCGTCCGTCTCTCACCTCAGCTAAGTACGTGCAGCCAGCCACTACTCTCTTTCTCCCACCACCATACCTATCTTCTCTGCTTCGACCTCTTTGCCTTGAGCTTATGAGACGGACACATTACCAGATCATGGAGAAGGCTACGTGACGGCTTGTACCGGCGTTCGGGGAGTGGAATTCTTTGGTTCGTCACTAAGATGTGACAAATTTTCGATGGCTGTTGTTTAGATGCTTGCCACAAATATTTGACAGGACATCACAATATTACCACACGTGGTTAAACTATATTACACTAAATCAAAACAAATTAATAATAGATATGAAATAGTGGATTAATTATAGATTGATAGATAAGAAACAATAGCTTAAATATAGATGCCGGGGAGGGGCTGTGAGGGAGGTCCAATGTGGACCAAGTCTTGGCCACAGATCAAGAGATGGGCGGTTTAATATTTGTTGTAGGTGTGAGGTATGTATACTAATATTTCTACACGTTTCCTAGTTCAGATGCCTGAATTAAAGGACTGAGAGAGATCGAGAGAGGAAGAGAAAGAAAATCTATACTGGTGGTTTTTGTGGATGGTTAGATTAAAATCTAATCGATACTGTTCTGAAAAGAACTTCAAAATCAGGCATATGAGAAATAGCAAATCCCATATTTTTATTGTATTCCCAGATTTATTATTTTAAAGAAAAAAGGCTAGTTGACCTTCATGTTCACGAAGGAACATGACAAGGCAGAGCAGAGCGCGACCACAGTGCTCGCCCTCCCACCGAAGCATTCCCGTTCGCAGTGCTCTCCCTCCTGCCCGATCCGCACTTCCGCCACCGCCCACCAGAACCAACACGACTGCAGCTACGTGGCGGCGCATGACCGCGGCGCCCTCCTTTGCTACTGGCTCCACGTCCTCGGGGCGAATAGGGTGTTCTCGTGACTAGCTCCGCTTCCTCGCGGCCAAGGTCTGCCCTGGAGAACTCATCATGGTGGGCGGGATGGGGACGACAACGTATCCGTGGAGGAGGAGGCGTGGCGGTAGAGGGCTTTGTAGCTGAGGTGGAGGAAAACCATGCCACACGTTTGACGAAAAAAAAAAAAAAAAAAAAAAAAAAAAAAAAAAACTAAATGGCGAATGCTTGTTCCAGGTGGCGAGCCCTGCTTCAATAATCAACCGAACACCTACCTAAGCACATGTGGCAATCTTAACTTTAGGTGTGGCAAGGTGTGGCAGGCAACCAACACAGGCCCGACGACTCAAGCGGTGCCTGTGTTTAGGTGTTAAAGTTGTTCAGCTTAGGTCTAATGACTGAGTCCTAAGGACTATGGGCACACCACCTCTATCGAACACATTGATCGGACGTGTGGACTAATTCACTGTTGGATTGGTCCCAACCAATAAAGGACCCGTGGCTTTTGACGTCTCTCTGCTATCTCAATGGGATATCCACCATATCCCTAACCTACCGATCTGAGGCACGAAAGTCGGATCAAGATCATAGGCTAGTCACCAGTCCCTGTGCCAGTGATTCTTCAGAGTGTGACTACCAACAAGGCGAGTACCGACAACAAGAGGTGGACCCAGGAGACATCAACCATAATGATCATCTACGTCTAATTGAGGTATGTACTAATTAATCATGAAATTAATGTGTTCATGTTATTAGGTTAGTGATTTTAATAGGCTAATCACACATTTAAGTTCTAATATCAGGTACTTCCCGCCCCCGCGGTGTAGACCGCCGGCGCCTAAAAAAGCGTGAAGACCGCCGGAGATTGCAGGAGGCAGAGAGCACCAAGAGCGTCGCATTGCGACGGACACCCCGGTAAGGCCGGTGGCGGCAGCGCTCACGCCGGCCAAGGGCGCCCGCAGGGTTGTCGTGAGGCCTCTGTGCAAAAGCATGCCACTCACTGCAGCGTGCAGGCTTTTCGGCGGGGACGCTGCCCTTGGAATGGACATTGGTGAATCCGGCGGTTAGCTAGGACACAGCTACTTCCTCTTGGGTCAATAGCATGCTGGGGTAGAGTACTTTTACAGCGTGGGGATCCGAAGTCCTGTAGAAAAAGGAGAGAAAATCCACTCCGGATACTAAGTTCCTCAGTGCAGATCAATACAAAATCCAAACACGGGCCTTGTTTAGATTGTAAGTTTTTTGAACCCAAATTTTTTCATCCAAAATGGTTCAAAATCTGACATCCAAAGGGGTGGAAAAATTGTCATAGCACTGTTTGCCCTGCCAAAGCATTAATGGACTAAAAAACACAAGTGGCACTATTACATGCATTTGGAGGGATGCTTGATGCCTGGCTCATCCTTGCATGCGCATGCATGCAAATCCATGCATGCTGCATGCTGTCTGCTCTTCCTTGCATGCTCTCGCATACAGTAGGGGAAACCCAAAATTATTACAACATTCAAATATTATTACAGTCCGAAAATTATTTTAGAGTCCTCAAATATTACAATGCATGTACCCAAATATTACAGTCCTCAAATATTACAGTCCTCAAGCAACATTATTACAAGTCCAAGCCGCAATCAAACAATTACAACTCACAAGTTCTCAAACATACACATGTATCAATATCTATTAAACAGCCTGTTCGCAATGCTGTCACGAAAGGCATTCATCTGTTCACGATCTGCGCTATCAGGGGCAGGCTCTGTTTCTGGCTGATCAAGATAGGCTTCAGCCGGCACAAAGTTAACATGATGATCTAGGTGCTGGAAGTCCACATCAAATTGCCTACTCAACCTTATGAAGTTATGCAAAGCAACACAAGCAACTATAATCTGCGTTTGTGTTTGAGGAGGATAGGCAGGGATACTCAACAATATGCGCCACTTCATCTTCAAGACGCCAAAGGCCCTTTCAATCACATTCCTAAGAGATGAGTGTGCATAATTGAATATCTCCTGTTTACCTCGAGGTTCTCCGGCGTTTTGAAAGTCTTGAATATGGTACTTCATTCCCTTGTAAGGAGCAAGGTACCCGAGACGGTTTGGGTAGCCGGCATCCACCAAGTAAAACATCCCTACACCACCAAGTACTTGTAATTGTTAAATGTTTCAATTAGAAATGTCAAATGTACTACCACCTAGTTGTCTACCTTCAGGTGGATGAGCGAAGTCATCCTTGAATGTTGTCATGGCATCCTCGAACACTCTTGTGTCATGGGCAGACCCCGGCCATCCCGCAAGGAGAAAAGTAAAAATCATGTCAAAGTCGCAAGCAGCCATCACATTCTGAGTTGTGATGCCCTTGCGACACAAGTGCTGCACAAACTTATCTTGTGGCACCAAAACAGGGAAGTGGCTGCCATCTATAGCTCCTATGCACCTCTTGAATTCAGGATAGAACCGTCGGTTCCTCACCCTAGGATGCATTGTACTAAATTCTGGGTCCACAGGTTTAATGATATCATTCCCAAGTGCAACAACACAGGGCAGCACTCTATAGAACATGTTGTGGACTGTGGCTAGTGACCTCTCAAATCTATCATCAGCTTGCCTATATGATTGTGGAGCACCAACCATCCAAAGGAACATACCTAAAGCCTCAGTTGAGGTGGACTTTTTTGTGTCTTTGAGGTCATACTCATCAGTCAATACCTTGTGCAGTCTATAGAACATATCTGGGGTGATTCTAAACATGTTGTAACAGGCAGTTTCATTTGCTAGTTTATGTTCTACCCAGTCCAGCCCAGTCATCTTTGGCACCCTATAGTATGCCCTATTGTAGTACTTTTGCATGTGCATGGCATACTGGGACATACCATATACGATTGCAGTTTCTTCTTCGATGTCATCAAAGAATAAGCTGAAGAAGTCCTCCTCCCACTGTTCATCATCATCGTCATCGTCATCCTCATCAACGACCGGAGCAGCAGGTTGAGCAGCCCCCTGCACACATGAAACAAACAAATGAACACAAATCAGTTCTAATTCCCAGGGAACAACATACACAGGGCAGCAGTACCTCAAATCCAACAGCACTGACTCCAGAAACAAACAGTATGGCTAAATTCAGACATCACAAGCGAACATCACAAATCACTTAGTTGCTGCCGACAAGTTCGACAACACAACATACAAATGACAGACGTAGTTCAACTAACATGCATCACAGACTTAGTACACGAGGTTCATGACACAAACACATGACAAATGCATTATTAAGAGGGTCTAGTTAACGACCCCGGCATAGTGCTTAATGATGGCCATCCTTCCTTTTGCTTCTGACTTGATAAACATTCTCATAGCAGCTTCGTTTTGGGTGATCATGAGGACACCAATCCACTGCCTCTCATTTTCCTCTGTTGCCCCTGCCTCTTTAGCCAGCTGTATCACTTGGTCAATGGTGTCCATTTTGTCATTCTTCTTCTTCTCTACAGCTTGATTCCTCTCATGCCAAATCTCCTTCAGCGCTTCAGTCCTGTTGTCCAGACTGACGGTCAAGTTCCTTATGCCTTCGTTCATCCTCACTGCTGGACTCCTGCCCCTCTTGCTGGGACTAGCAGCAGTGCTGCGGGTGCTGAGGCTGCTGTAGCTTCTCTTGCTCCCAGTGCTCTGAGGGGTATGGACGTCTTCGTCATCGTCACTGCTCACAGACAGTGGCGCATTCCTGCGGCTAGGAGCATAAGCGGTTTCCCCTGTCACTGCTACGCCAAGGAACATGCGCTCTAAAAGGTCCATGTAGTCAGGCAGTGTACCCTTAAGCTTGTTGTCCTGCAAAACAAGAATTACAAAAGAACTTGTTTAGAACACATGATTACAACACATAATTTGGTAAGAAAAACATGATTACAAAACAGAATTAGGTTGTACCTTGTCGTTGGTTTTCCACCATTCAGCTGAAGCACTGATGGAGCCATCTGCATTGCACCCCAAGCCTGTCTCCTTGTGATAGAGCTTCTATAGGTCATTCCATTCCTTCTTCAGCTAGCGGACCCTACTCCCAAAGATGATGTTGTCATGAACTAATTCTGTCGCTTTGAAGTAACCCTCTGTCAGATTTTTCCAACCCCACTTCAACATCTAACCCCTAGGGCAGTTCCCCTTGTCAATCTCGTCAACGTAGAGCTGACAGAAAGTCCGGGTGTTTTGAGGACTCCACTGGGCCCTGCTAAGGGTACTCTGAAATGATGCAGAAAGAAAAAACAACACATGACATAGGTAAACAATATGCCTAAACAAGGACATGGCGTAGGTAAACAATATGCCTATACAAGGACAGCAATGCATGCAAAGCATGCATAAACAGCTCGCATAAACAACATGCACAAGCTCAGCACAGCACAGCAATCTACTTGTACTAGCACAAGCATCAAGATAGCACAAACAATCTACCATGTGAGCAAACACATAGCAAGCAATCTATTTGTACTAGACCACAAGCACAAAGACAAAGACAAAGCAATCCCATGGAGAAAGAAACTTTGTGTACCGGGACATTAGTCGGAGGGACGTCCTCGTCGGCGGCGGTGGGCTGGACTAGGCTGCGACGCACACTGGGCCTCCTGGAACCGCCAGCCGAGCCGCCTGCCTCATCACCATGAGGCCCCAGGGGAGGCACGCGGCGGCGAGGAGGTCGGAGGCCGAGGGAACCCCTGCCGGCGCGGGATGGCACGCGCACGGGAGGGGGGTCGTGAGCGCTGCCGCTGCCGCCGTCTTCAGCCGGGGACTGGAGGATCTCCTGGTAACGAGCCAAGCCCGGCCACGAATGGCTGGCGTTGAGGTCCAGCTCGCTGAACCCCAGGTGGCTAAGGGAGGGCGCCTTGCTGCCGAAGCCATAGCCGAAGACGTCGCCGGAGTTGTTGCGGAAGCCGGTGTGGGCCCCAGATCCGGCGTACGGCGGCGCCTGGGACAGGAAGTCCCTGGTTTCGGAGCCGTCTCCGTAGCCGGAAGCGTTGTCCAAGGAGCCGTCGTTGAAGTCGCCGTCTTGATTCGAGCCGCCGTGGTACCCGTCCAGCGCCGACGAGGAGGTCAAGGACACCCGATCTGGACGAAGGGAAGGTGGATCATCACGTAGGAGGGCTGGATCTGGTGGAGGGACCGAAAGGGCGGCGTGGGGAGACCGAGAGGCGGCGGCGGAAATGGAGAGCGGCGGCGGCGGAAATGGAGAGCGCCTAGGGTTCGGGGGGAGAGGGAATGGATGGGGTGAGGGGCGCGGGGACGGGGTGGGCTGGATCAGGTGCTGGACTGAGCGGCGGCGGGGAGACCGAGAACGGCGGCCGCGGAAATGGAGTGCGGCGGCGGGGCGAGAGCGGCCTAGGGTTTCCCCGAGGGAAAGGGAGTGGAGACGGATGCGCGAACGGGGCCGTGGTCAGGGTTATACTGGGATGCACGCAGCCCGAGGCAATGATTGGGCTGGGCCAAATTTGCACCGTGCAGGCCGAAATTTTTTCCGGTCGGCCGTTTAGATTCCAAATTCCAAAAGTTAGTTTTTTTGCAATTTGGGCTGCATCTAAACAAGGCCACGGTGTCAATATTTGGACAGAAATGGTTGATGATATAGTTCTAGGGAAACTAAAGGCTGCGTTTGAACTGCTTGGCTTCAAGTTTTCCAGCTCTACTTTATATTTTTAGCTAAATAGATGTAGCTTGACAGACTCTGCTGCCTCAGACAAAAAGGATAGACTTGTGACCACACATAAAATGATACTCTAGAAACTCTAGGTTGTTTTTTACATATTTTACGGTAGAATTTGTGAAGCAAAGCTTACAGAGCAGTTGCAAACGAATGTAAGTGCCTTCAACCAACAGTACTGTATAAATAACGGCAAATGAAATATACGGTGGCACGTGCCCACACAGGCCACAGCGGCCCCATTTTAAAGTACATCGGGACGCTACCCTACATTCGGACGCGTGAGAGAACCAACGGTTGGGCGAACAGAAGCCCGTGTGTCGGAAACGGCGAGGTTACAGTGGTCCACTAGTTGCTCTACAGTCATCGCGACGTCAATGGCCGGCTAGCCTGCCCAACTAACGCTGCTACCGCCAGAGCTATCTAGTCCTGACGTCATTGCCCGGCAGCACCAGCACTCCAGCAGTGCGCAACGAATGCGAGCGCAGGCGTCGCCATGCATGCCGCGCGTACATCATGTACAGTGCACAGCCGTCCGGAGCGCGCCGTGCGTGGAGTCAAAGCAACTCGACCGAGAAATTTATGGCCTGGCCTGGCCTGCCCTGCCATGCCACTCTGCCTCGCGTGCAGTTCTTCCTTCCAGACAACGACGCCACGGCAAGGCATGGGGGTCGAAGGCTCCAAGCCGAGCGCGCATTTATAATAAGGACTAGGTACGTGCATCCAGCCATTGTCGTCCTCCCACTACCACCACCTTCTCTGCTGCTGTAAGCCTTCTACTCACCAGCTTCGACATCTTTGCCTTCGATCGGCCTCTGCGATCATGGAGAAGGCTAGGCGGCGGCACGTGCCGGCGTTCGGGGAGTGGAACTACTGCTACTCCTCGGCGTCCTCCCCAGAGGAGCCGGCGCCGCCGCACTCCGGCGCCGCGGCCGTCAAGTCCTGGTGGTGGTACGCGCCGGAGCCGGAGGCCTGCAGCGACGCCTGGTTCAGGTACTCCCCGCCCCCACGCCGTAGGCCGCCGGCGCCTAATAAGAAGAAGGCGCGGAGGCCGGAGACCGCGGGCGGCGGAGTTGTCGTCGCTGGAGCTGCGGAGCACAAGAGGGCGGTGGCGGCAGCGCGCACGCCGGCCAAGGGCGCCCGCAGGGTTGTCGTGAGGCCCGTCGACGAGGACCTGTACCGGGTGCCGCCGCCGGACGACGATACTGCTGTATCTCGCCTTGGCGGCGGGTACGTACCGTGACATATTAGCCAGAGCGACAGCAAAAGCTCACGTATTCTTCATTTCTTCTTGCTATCCTTCAATTCTTGCAGACTAAAAAGTTTCCTCGCTTTGGTTTGCAGAAGAGGGCGGCGAGGAGGAGCTTGTGGATGGGCTGTTTGGGCCTCAACTGCGTCGCCTGAAGGCTGAAGCTAGCTAGCTTGTTACCATTACTAATGGATGCGGCTAGCTAGCTGATGCAACACTACTCTTAAGCTATATATATGGCGTATGGAATCTGGAGAAGTACTAGCTAGTAGTGTAGTGGAACTAGAGTGCTCTTTAAATTTCATGTTTGCTTCCTCTCCATCGTGTTCGTTGTTAGCTCAGTCTTATTGTGGCCCCGTTCAGCTTACCTTATAATCCGCACTATTCAGCTTGTTTTTTCAGTCGGAACAGTGTTTTTCTCTCACAACAATTCAGTCAGAACAGTGTTTTCAGCCAATTCAGCCAAGTTTCAGCAAGCCGAATGAGACTTATGGCAGCATGAAGATTAATTAGAGGAGCAGTACTAGTAGTTGTGCCAGCCAAGCAATAGATCGAGTAGCAGTGAAACTCGACAGGGTCAGTAGTGCCTGTGTGGGACAGTATGGATTAAGTGCTGCATCTTGTCATGCCATGGCATGATGGTACCAGTTAATAGAGCCATCTTGCTAGCTAGTAGCTCCTGATCAATTTGTTTGATTTGTTGCAAATGCTAGCTGCGTTTCTATGTTTGGGTTAGTGCAATCCGCGCTACCCGGATGTCTGTGTGAAACTCATCACTCCAGGTCTCCAGCCAGAGACTACCAGCCTTGTGCCTTACTTGAATGCGAAGTGACGCACATTTTAGGAACGGTGTTTACTGTTCATGCATGGCATACTGTGCATGTGCTTTGGGCAACGATTTATGAACGATCCATGTTCAGAGAGTTTATAATTTTTTTCCCCCACAAGAGGTGAGTCCCATTTCCTCTCAGAAAACCGAAAATACAGGAGTTTGGTTTAGCAAAAGAACAGGAAGAGTTTAATTTCCCACATGCTTCCTAAAAGGCGACAGATCAGAGAGCAAATGTACGTTCCGATTCAACAGTAAGATGTAAATGCTTACAACAGATGGCCCCAGAGCTGTGTTTCTTCTCTGCGAACTGGTCGGCTCTACACCAGTCCATTTTGGCAGAGCTCCATGCATGGCTATGGCTTGTTGCAGGCACACCCAGTACAAATCGATCCAGTGGGCCTCACTATAGGAAACTGGAATCACCTTGTCGCCCAAAGATTTTTCTTGAGTGCCATGATCAAACCGCCAAGTAAAGTGCATTTTTTTTGGCGGTGCTACTAAACTCTCAAGCAAACATATATTCCTTGGAGGTTGAAGTAAACCGCCAACAAATATGGGTCACTGGTAGAGAACCGAGCTTTACTCCCGGTGGGGAACCCCCTCTAGTCCCGGTTCCCCACCCGGGAGCAAGCATCCGGGACTAAAGGGGGGTCCTTTAGTCCCGGGTCAGGAACCGGGACTAAAGGAGGACCTTTAGTCCCGGTGGGTAACACCAACCGGGACTAAAGGTGCCTCCTGACATGCCACGATGGCCGGCACCTTTAGTCCCGGTTGGTAATACGAACCGGGACTAAAGGTTTTTTTCTTTTTTCTTTTCTTTTCATTTTTTTGTTTTCTTTTCTAAATAGGTTTTCGAAGTCGTATTGTACGCTGCTAATTATACATTTATACGCGCATATAGTATGTTTCGGTTCAAGCACAATGAACGTATTAAATCACACAATTCAAGCATAGAAATATATATATATATATATATATATATATATATATATATATATATATATATATATATATATATATATATATATATATATATATATATGAATGCATGCATCATATATATATTTACATGCATGCATGCATATGTGTATTTTACATTATATTATTTCATGTGCATATATTACAAAAGATTGCATTACAGTTGTTGTGACATAACAAGTTTCCTCTCATCCTCTAGCTTGGCTTCAATGGCAGTGTTGGGTCGAAGTAAAACTCGCCCTTGGAATCGATGACCTGCTCATTAAAAAATCCGGCTATAGACTCTTGAATTGCTTTGATTTGGTCTTGCCGTATGACCTTTTCGTCCAACCATCGAGTCTACAGGTTTGAATTAAAGGAAAATAAATTAATATATGTACATATATATATATAAAGACATAGTAACACAATCAATAATAATAATTAAATGAATATATAGTGTATTTTTAACGTACTTTGAGTCTCTCTGTAGGAGTTCTTTCGGAGAGCACCTTGATAAACTTGCAAACATAGTAACCATGTAGTTGTTCCCCTGTTCTGCTTTTAGACACCACTTTACGAGAAAAGATTTGTCATCCAATCTGGTGATCCGGTGAAAGCTATATGTTTAATTAATAAAGATGATACGATTCGTGGGACTTACTTTCAAAGGGATTACATTCAAGTGGCGCTTTGCATTTTTCCATGTGTTGCTTCTCAATAAAGGTTTTCCAAACATTGCCCAATAAAAATTTGCCACGTCATCGATATAGTTAATCATCATGTTTGTGTGTATATATAGTTGCTAGAGATCCCGAAATTACCTCCTGAATAATATCTATCATATCTTGGTAGTCTTGTTGTGGTTTTCTCATCGAGTCATAGATTATCAAGTGACTTTTCACCGGATCGATGTCCATCAATATCCGATTGATTGCTTTGCATGTGTTTATAGGATATAACGCATAACACTCATTAATTAACTAGAATCAACATATGAGCCATTAAGGATATGATCGACATGATTAACACACACTTGAAGTTATAGGGAAAGAGTATATCCTTCTTGTGGCGTTGGTTCACTAAGAAGTTCATGAGGTTACTCTCGACTCGGACTTCCAATTAGTCTTTGGAGTAATTGGGTCTTTGAATACTATATGGGGATCAACAAAACCAATTTCATTTTGACCTTCTTTTCGAGCTCTGTCATTGTAAATCAGCATATATATAGTACTTGTTAGGATAATTTATATGCATATGCACACATATGATGAGTTTAATAATAGATCAAAAGAATTATTACTTACAGGCAATAGCAGCTAATGATAACTTTGTCCAGAGAGGTCAGGTGGCATAGTTGATGAAATTACGCAAAGTCAACATACATAACATCATCGCCACGGAACCAATGTTCGTCTCTAATTACGACACCAACGTTAGAAGTCTCCATCGGTAGACGCCTTTGCATGTACCACTTGTTTAGCGGTACATTTGCGTCCCCAGATCGAGATAAGGCTTGAGGGTTGTATAGACTCGCCTAGTACAAATTTTTTTCTTCCAAATATCAACCTCCGCCGCACTCTCAATGTTTCCATCACCAAACATCGGTAAAGGTCGAGACCGGTCTCATCAAGAAATTCACCAAGGTGATCCAAATCGACATCCGGAGGTATGTTTGCTCGATGCATTAATCCTAAATTGAACCATATTCATTACCAACAACTAGCGGGGGATTGATTGAGTGCGCTTGTTGTCGAGTTGGGCAATGCCTTTCCCGCCCGCCGCTTTTTTTTCGTGCCGCCTCAATTGACTTGGTGAGAGTGCGGTCATAGTCCGATAACGTTGATTTGGATGGCTTATGAGATTCCCATTGTTGTTCTTTGGTAAGAAGTCACCTTTTTCTTAGAATATCGGAGCTACGAAGAAGTACGATTTCCGGGTTTCTCCTTGCTTCTTGATTCATTTTAAGTTTGTCATAGAATCTAGACATGTCTTTTTTTATATGCATCAGTTCCTTCTTCCTTCTCTTGAGATATTATTTTGGGAATAGCCCTTGGTTTCACGGTGGCTTTCTTTTGCAAAAGGGACCGGTTCTTCGTTTGAGGGCTGGCCTCTTGCTAGGCTTCTTGGTAGGCGGGGCGGGGAGGCGTTGGAGACCTCCTTGAGGTGTTGGCAGCGGTGTTGGAGACCTCCTGGAGGAGGTGGCGCTGGCGTTGGAGACCTCCTTGGAGATGGTGTAGATGCAGCCTCGTCTTCCAACATAATGTCATCAGACTGAGCACTATGATGATCTGGCGATTGAACAATTGGATTTAGGTTGGGGAGGATCTGCTAAAAAAAAAGGAATGACATATTATTATGAGCAGATTGTTAATTATTTAAGCCAATACAAATTAATGATGTAGTGTTTTCATCACGCGTACCTATGGTGAGGTAGTTCGGGAGGAGGTGGAGCCGACATCCCTAGAATGATGATGTAGCGCTTGCCATAGAATGAATGTCTTCTCCGCTTCTCCTAGAGTCTTCTTCGCCATCACCTCCGAGGAATGTCAAGAGGCAAATCACTAAAACCTTTTTTTTCAGCTTTATCTACCGAGATGGTAGCATATCCTTCTTGGATTATATTCCCATGAATCCTTGGTGTCTTGGTTCGGTCGATAGGATTAACAAGACCGATAGCCACCTTGATTGTAGAATTCTCCTTGAATGTGTAGCTCACACGTTGTACAAGGTTCGGTGGCGTCATCCACGGGAAGCG